AGCCGCCGAATCAGGGATCGCGGGTGGGAAGGCCAAAGTTGGTCGGAACCGCCAAGTCAGGGGGTTGGTGGGGTTGAACCCTCCGCCGAAGATGGCACAACCTCCGAACCATGGGCTTGGATCTGGCAAAAGAGGGGGCTTTGAGGGGTACAGGGTAGGGTGGGCGACGACGCGATCCACACGGGGGTCTTGGCGTAACGGCATCCAGCAACGCTGGCAAGCAAGGACTGGGGAGACGCAGATCCGAGTTGTCGTGGCTATAATCATCGGGACGTCAACGAGGAAGGGAAGCCAGAAGGGGCGTAGCTACCTGGTCGCCGGGGCCGGAGCTGCCCGGTGGAGGACGCCAGCAGCAAAGGACACCAAAGAGTCGCGCCACCCATTGACTAACGAGTCCAACCAAGTTCAATTCAGATCTTGTTGAGAGAATGAGTTTAAATAACCGAGCTAACGAGTTACCCTTTTAGAGCAACTCCAACGGGGTGACCCATTTCGTCCGCTGGCATCCGTTTGAGTCGGCACAGACACAAAAGGCAGCCCAAACAGACGAGCGCCCGCTTTTCGTTCATGGACGACCCATTCCCTGCCAATTTTTTTTAGCCAGATTTGCGTCGGTGTGGACACGAGACGGGCGCGCGCGCGCTCGCCTTCTCCTTCCCCGGGCCCGTTGGTCGGTGGCACATTGGCCTCCCTATTGGAACTATGCCCTAGAGGTAATAATAAAATGGTTATTATTATATTTCCTTCTTCATTATAATTGTCTATTGTTCATGCTATAATGGTGTTATCCGGAAATCGTAATAGATGTGTGAATACATAGACCACAACATGTCCCTAGTAAGCCTCTAGTTGACTAGCTCATTGATCAATAGATGGTTATGGTTTCCTGACCATGGGCATTGGATGTCATTGATAACGGGATCACATCATTAGGAGAATGATGTGATGGACAAGACCCAATCCTAAGCATAGCGCAAGATCGTGTAGTTCGTCTGCTAAAGCTTTTCTAATGTCAAGTATCTTTTCCTTAGACCATGAGATTGTTCAACTCCCGGATACCGTAGGAATGCTTTGGGTGTGCCAAACGTCACAACGTAACTGGGTGTCTATAAAGGTGCACTACGGGTATCTCTGAAAGTATCTGTTGGGTTGGCATGAATCGAGACTGGGATTTGTCACTCCGTATGACGGAGAGGTATCTCTAGGCGCACTCGGTAAGACATCATCGTAATGAGATCAATGTGACTAAGGGGTTGGTCACAGGATGATGTGTTATGGAACGAGTAAAGAGACTTGTCGTAACGAGATTGAATAAGGTATCGGTATACCGATGATCGAATCTCGGGCAAGTAACATACCGATTGACAAAGGGAATTGTATACAGGATTGATTGAATCCTCGACATCGTGGTTCATCCGATGAGATCATCGTGGAACATGTGGGAGCCAACATGGGTATCCAGATCCCGCTGTTGGTTATTGGCTGGAGAGATGTCTCGGTCATGTCTGCATGATTCCTGAACCCGTAGGGTCTACACACTTAAGGTTCGGTGACACTAGGGTTATAGGGAGAGTTTGTACGTGGTTACCGACTATTGTTCGGAGTCCCGGATGAGATCTCGGATGTAACAAGGAGTTCTGGAATGGTCCGGAGACGAAGATTTATATATGGGAAGTCCTTATTCGGTCGCCGGAAGTGTTCGGGGGTTTATCGGTATTGTACCGGAACCACCGAAAGGGTTTCGGGGGTCCACCGGGAGGGTCCATCTGCCCCGGAAGGCCATATGAGCTGAATATGGAGGGGAAACCAGCCCCTAGGTGGGCTGGGCGCCAAACCCCCCAGGGTCCATGCGCCTAGGGTTTGGAGGAACCCTAAAGGGGGCGCCCCCCATGGCTTGGGGGGCAAGCATCCCCCCTTGGCTGCCGCCCCCCTCTAGATCCATCTGGAGGGGGCCGGCCCCCCTCTCCCTTGCCCCTATAAATAGAGGGGAGGTGGGAGGGCAGCCGCACCACATCCATGGCGCAACCCTCCCCCTCCCCAACACCTCCTCCTCCTCCCGCAACGCTTGGCGAAGCCCTGCTGGAGTACCACGCTGCTCCAACACCACCACGCCGTCGTGCTGCTGCTGGAGTTGTCTTCCCCAACCTCTCCCTCTCTCCTTGCTGGATCAAGGCGTGGGAGCCGTCGTCGGGCTGCACATGTGTTGAACGCAAAGGCGCCGTTGTTCGGCGCTTGGATCGGAATCAACCGCGATCTGAATCGCCACGAGTACGACTCCCTCATCCGCGTTCTTGTAACACTTCCGTGTCGCGATCTTCAAGGGTATGAAGATGCACTCCTCTCTCTCTCTCTCTCTCTCGTTTCTAGTTTCTCCATAGATTGATCTTGGTGATGCGTAGAATTTTTTTAATTTCTGGAACGATCCCCAACACTCCCCCCATCCAACAGCAACCCTCGCCCGTCTCCTTTGTCGCCGCCGCCGCCCATTTTTGCCGGCGACTGTGCCAGCTACCGGTGTCTTCACATCCGCCCAGCAATGACGCCAATTCCCACGTCACCCGCCACAGCCGTCTTGCCGCCGGGGAGCCGACTGCTTCCCACCCCCTCTCCTCCCACCACACAGCCGCCCGTGACCAAGAAGCCGCCTCGCTGCCCCGGCCAGATCCTCACCAGCATGCTCTTCGGACGCCAGCCCACTCGTCGGACGTCGATAGGGCAGCTAGCTGGTCCGTGCGCGCCACGACTCCCTTCGCTGGCTGTCTCTTTCGTCGATGCCCGCAAGTTGTTTGACAGTTTGCCAAGGTACAAAATGGACTCTGTCGATGAGTTCTTTTTTCACAATTTCCTTTGCGACTCCGATGGTTCGTCGTCCGATGACGAGGAGGAGATATTGGCTGCCGTGTTGGTCCATCACCACCTCAACAGCCAACGGCCGTTGTTCCGTGGCTCCATTCCGGGCCACCTTCCGGCGTTGAATCGCAACCGAGAGAGCGGTCATTTCCTTCTTTGGAAGGACTACTTTGATACAACAACCCCGTTGTTCAAACATAAAAAATCCCATCACCGTTTCCGTATGAGTAGGCATCTTTCCAACCGTATTAGAGAGGCGGTGGTCGCCTATGATGGCTATTTCAAGTGCAAAGAGGATGACTTTGGCAAGATTGGTTTCTCCTCTTATCAGAAATGCACTGCCGCCATCTGAATGCTTGCATACGGAGTGCTCGGTGATCTCATTGACGAGTACGTCCGTATGAGCGAGCCTACATGCCTAGAGTCCCTGTATAAGTTCTGCAAGGCTGTTATTGCTGTGTTTGGCCCTGAGTAGTTGAGAGAGCCGACTCCTGAAAATACAACCCGTTTGTTGGTGATGAATGCCAGCAGGGGCTTCCTAGGAATGCTTGGCAGCATAGACTGCATGCACTGGGAGTGGAAGAACCACCCTTCTGCTTGGCAAGGGCAGTATAAGGGCCATGTCAGGGCTTGCACTGTCATACTAGAGGTCATGGCGTCTCAAGATCTCTGGACCTGGCACTCTTTCTTTGGCATGACTGGATCACACAATGATATCAACATGCTTCAGCGCTCGCCGGTGTTTGCTAGGCTTGCCGAAGGCAATAACCCACCGGTGAACTTTACTATCAACGGTCACAACTATGACAAAGGATACTACCTGAGTGACGGTATCTATCCTCAGTGGACCACTATTGTCAAGACAACCCCCAACCCTGTCGGAGAGAAAAAGAAAAGATTTGCCCAAGAGCAAGAGAGTGCTAGGAAGGATGTCGAGCGTGCCTTTGGTGTTTTGCAATCTCGATGGGGCATCGTTCGGTATCCTGCTAATACCTGGAGCACGCAGAAACTGTGGGAGGTGATGACTGCTTGTGTGATCATGCACAATATAATCGTAGAAGACGAGCGCCCGGAACATTTGTACGATCAAGGGTTTCAGTTTTAGGGTGAGAATGTTGTGCCTGAGCATGGAGAGCGACAACGTTTGAACAGTTCATCCAATTTCATCATGACATGCGTGATTGAGAAACTCACGTGCAACTGCAAAATGATTATGTGGGCTCATGTTGGCAACCAATAGATGTATCTTCTTTTATTCGGCTTGCAAAACTATGTGAAACATTTTTTTTTATTCGGCTTGTAAAACTATACTATTTTATTCAAACTATGTTATTTGATTATATGTTTATATGCAAAATTGAGCTATTTGTTGAAATACGGCGGCGAGCCGGCCACACCGGCATATATGGATCGGCGCGTTGGGCGCGCTGCCGACCCATATCTAAAACAGGGCGAACGCCGGACGAACGGCCGACCCAAACGAACGAATAGCGGACGAAATCGTCGCCCGTTTGGATCGCCCCATTGAAGTTGCTTTTAACTGATTAATCTCGGTACTCATAATGTACATGCGACAAATACCAATACTGTTGTTGATTGTTGTCAGTTGTGCAGTGCATCATTTCCAAATAGTCGATGGTTACTTACAGCTACCACCTTAATCCAAAGAAGAGTTTGCGATCTTTTAGCTCATTGACAACACGGAGGAAAAATAAGACTACATGGGGAGGTTCGAGTATGTAAAACATTATTGATCATGTAATTAATCAATAACATTGCTAAAGTTTATGAGTTTTGTATCCGTATTCGGTGGAGTATGGGTTGAACGTCTATTTGAAACCACTCCACATCCGAGGTGGAATGATTTGGTGGCGTTCAAAGAAATGCACTTTGGTGTAAACTATTGATTATTGTAATTTGTGAGAAAAGTATGTGTCCATAAATACTTTTTTATTGATTGTTCTATATATAAAGCATATATGGTTATTGTTCATGTTTATAATAAGTTTAACGAATTGAACGACCTAACTGGCAAGTTACACAAGTCCAGCTGACTTTAAATATAGCGATCTTGCTTGGCTCGGCTCGGCTCAAATTCTAGCCCTAGATGTCTTGAAACCACCGTGGTCTGATAATAACCATTTTCTTGATCAGACAGACGTGCAGATAGACGTACTTCCTTTGTCTCTAGTCTCTACCCTCATGGGCACCGGTGGTGCATGGAGACGCTCGCCGGTCTTCTCGGCCTCCATCAATGCCGCGAGGCTCCCTTCCCTCTCAAGGGGCGCCATTGCCGGCCTCCTTTCTTCTTCCACGCCACCTTCTCCCTTCACGTATAAACCGTCGCCCTCCACGTCGTAGAAGTTGCCCGTCCTCACCTCCTGCGCCAGCGCGCACGGCGCGCAGAAGAGCCACTTGGCGTAGTCCGCCGCCGCCACCGTGGTACGCCGTCCGCCGCACACGGGAGCGCAGAACCGGTCGTCAGCCGGCAGCCCGAACCTCTTCCTCATCCGCGTTCGCCAGAACCCCCCGTAAGTGAGACCGAGCACGGAGAGCAGCGCGCCCGCGGCGCCGACGAGGTACCCGAGTGTGGCGTCACGGATGCTGAGCGCGGCGACCGCGAAGACCAGCAGCGGCGCGGCGCAGAGGAGCGCGAAGGTGAAGGCGTGCACGTACATGTTGCCCAGGCCCAGGCGCTCCATGTTCCACCCGAACACGCAGAAGGTGCACGACAGCGACATCGCCGCCACCGTGGGATCGTCGGCGAGGTCGAACAGCCCGCCGGCCCACTCCGGCTTGCTGACCACCACTCTGCCGCTGCCCGTGCGATCGTATCGGGCCACGGCGCTCTCCTTCACCGTCGCGGCCTCCTCGTCGACAGAGTCCGGGAGCGCGATCTTCTGTCCGAGCGGGCCGTAGACCATGTACAGGCCGGCGACGACGGGGGTGCCGGAGCCGAGCGCCATCAAGAGGTTAACGGCCCAGCCGGGGCGCCTGTCGTTGCGGAAGAGCCAGAAGAGCGCGCAGTAGGCGTACTGCGCGAAGCAGGTGGCATGCAGGAGGAGCACGACGACCGCCACGTGGAGGCGCTCGCGCCTGACGCCCCCGGCGCAGTTCTTGCAGTACACGGCCCGGAGCTCAGCGACGTCGGCGGGGGCGCGCCACCGGAGGAGGAGCGCGAGATGGTGGCAGAGTCGCGGGTGCTGGTAGACGCACATGATGGTGAAGAGCGCGTTGAGCATCTGGTTGGCCACCTCCGTCCACCGCCGCCGGCGCGACGCGTCTGGCACGTCGGAGTCGAGCGCCCCCACCATGAGCAGGAGCACGAAGACCACCCCCGCAGCAACGAAGGCGAACCACACGAGCAGCGCGGCGTTCATGGGATGCCTAGCCCACGCCACGCCCCTGTCCCGCACCCGGCGCCAGTCAACGGCGCGCGCGACCGGCGGCGAGCGGAGGAAGTTGCTGTACGCCGCGCGCGTGCGGAGGCTGGCGACGCGAGCGAGGACGGCGCCCTTGGAGGGCGCGGCCCTGAGGAAGTCGAGCAGCCTCTCCTTCTTCGGACCCTCGCCGGGGCGGGGGCTCGGCAGCTCAGCGATAGTGATGCCGTCGTCGGCATGGGCTTCCTTGGCCTTGGGTGACCTCTCCTGTGACTCCATGGCTGTCCTCAGCTACGTACGTTGCACCAAGAGTGCTTGGATGCTTATATACACGATACACGTGGGAGGTGAGTTTTGTCAAGTCTAGTACGTAGGTGACGGCCGAATTCGTGTTCTTGTTTTCTGAACTCCACGAGAGACTGAATCAATGGGTGCAGACAAATTTCAGATACAGTTCGTCAGGATGGACCCAGCCCACGGAAACACAGTTAGGGTTCAGTTGTGGCGTACGGTGACAAGAAATATGTGCGTTTGCTTCCAGCACGCCACACAGGACTTTGCAAATTACCCCTGCTTTTTGCTCCGGAAATCATCTGAACATGTGATTATGTGAAGCTGAGAACTGTTTCGAGTTGGTGAATAGCGCAGCAGAGTAGCAGGGCAGCACCAACGGACAAAGCAGAGTACGAGTAGTATTACCAACACGTTTTGATTTTTCTTTCGGATGTGTCTAGGACACATCTAGAGATGCTCTAGTTATTGCACATCTAAGTGACTCAATGAAACTAAAAAGAAAAAGAAAAAAGACTAGCGAAAATGGTTGCACGAATCTTCACGTAAAATCATTGGCATATGACTTAGATGTGCAATACTTATGGCACATCTAGATATGCTTTAGCAAAACTGTTTTCTGTATGATCTTCTGCAGGCTCATGAAAAAATGGACTCAAGGTAACTCAAGTTAACAGACTAACTGTGCAGAGCGTTGCCCTAGCTAACCGATCATGGTTGGTTCATAGGTCATGATGTTGTAACCGATTTGATAAGATGGTATATCTGTTATTGCCATGTATTGTAAGCCAATCTGGTATACCACTATGTATGCGAACAAAATTCAATCTTTCCCTTGGAGACAAATATGTCATCATGGCAAATATTTTGTTTAACATGTACCAGAGGCCTCTCATCTGTCTGGCCCGCGATGGGGTTGCCTTTCGGCCCTTCTCGGTGCCGCATTCGCCGGGAAGGCAATCAGTTCATGGTCATCGTCTTTTTTTTTGTCTAAATCGCCGACTTTCTGACTGTTGCTTCTACAAGCTTCTGAGTTTCAACAAGCTTGCTTCAACGAGGGCCTAGTGACGAAATGAGCTTTGCTCATGCCACCGGTTGAAGTAGAAGGAAACAATGTTGATTTCTTCAAGGACTTGTCTTTAATCATTTATTCCCGTAAGAAAATTCTTATAAAATCTGGTTTTATTTGAGATATGGCCGTCAGTTTTATCAAAAAAAACTTGTATCAGAGCAAGTTTTAGTCTCGGTCCTGAAACTTGATATCAAGTATTAAACTTAGTACTTGATATCCAAACTGCAAATCAAGCAACCAACGCCCTATTAAGCTTGGCAAAGCCTCTTCCATCGCAAACATACAATTTGAGCATCGTCGCCATGATATCATGTTTGATGATTGGCCAAGCTCTCTGGTAGAAAGCGTCGATGAACCCATCTGAAAAACTGAAGGGCGTGGCAGGGGCTAGGTTTAATGGTAGACATGGAAGCACGGGCAGTTTTTCATAGCTTGGTGACTATAACAGTTCAAACTGGAGATAGAGTGTTGTTTTGGACTGACCAGTGGATTCGCGGTTTTGCGGCTTTTGATATTGCACCTCTGATTGTTATGCAATTGACAAGCGCATCAAAAATCATCGCAATGTGCAGCAAGCTCTAGTGGATGACAGATGACTACAGGATATAAGGGGAGACCTATCCTTCACTACGCATATACAACTCATGCACATGGGCCATGCCATCCCTACGGTTCCTAGAAACACGATGAGGGATGGTATTTCCAATCTGGTGTATACACGGTGTTGGGGATATTACTATTGGACGTAAACCGGCTAGAAGAGGCGGGATTATCCCCATGATGGTTATTTTATTCAGAGCTCATGAAGACAAGGATGGTGGCGCTTTATGAAGGCCCAAGGCCCAAAAGCGGGTTAAGGCCTGTAGATATAAACCTATATTATCATGTAACTTGTATTGTAAAATAGGAGGAATAGAGACCGAGTTGGACACGTTGATGATCCGACCTCGGGACTCTGTAAACCGACGGGCGTCGACCTATGTATATAAAGGGACGACCCGGCGGTGGTTTAGGGACAACAGACAACAACTCGAGAGCCAGGCAAAGCGGATTCGCTCTCTGGTCATCGAAACCCCAGCAATTCCATCACAACTAGAGTAGGCTTTTACCTTCATCGTAAGGGGCCGAACCAGTATAAAACTCTCGCGTCCCTTGTCCGCTTTAACCCCTTTGAGCTAACCCGTAGAGATGGATCCACGACTAAGTCCTTTCACAAGGACATCTGCCATGACAAAACCACGACAGTTGGCGCCCACCGTGGGGCTATCGCACGATGGTTTCGAGTTCTTGAAGGGCAGCTTCGAAGGACTCAAGGGATACGCCGTGGGCTGGATGACTAAGAGTCATCGCGGCAAGCTCTACATCGACGACGCAGGATGGGGTCCCGAGGCCGGTTCAATTGAGTACGGGTACCAGGTCCCCTTTGGCGAAATTCACGTCTTCATCGGAAAGATCGGCGAACCGGGCCCTGAGCCGGACATCTGCACCGACATCGTCGAGACGGCTCAGCGTGCGAGGTCTGCCCAGGTTTAGCCCGCCGTAAAGCGCGCCTTTGTAGGTGTCATCCATGGAGCGGAATATGAGGATGGATCGGTATCTGGTGGAGAAACCATTGTCTGCTCTGACGACGAGTCTTCAACCGGAGAAACTGGGCCACTGTATCAGCTGCAGGATGGCTGGATTAGTGGTGGTTCCGATGGCGACAGTATTCCGGACCCCCTTGATCCGCCGAGTCGGTTGCGATCTTCATGGCCGGAACGCAATCAGTACGACACTCATCTACCGCAGCAGCAATAGTCTCCGGGTCAGTAGCCGCTGTTGGGTTTCGTAGTAATTTCAAAAAATTTCCTACGCACACGCAAGATCATGTGATGCATAGCAACGAGAGGGGAGAGTGTTGTCTACGTACCCACGCAGACCGACTGCGGAAGCGTTGACGCAACGTAGAGGAACTAGTCGTACGTCTTCCCGATCCAACCGATCAAGTACCGAAACTACGGCACCTCCGAGTTCGAGCACACGTTCAGCTCGATGACGATCCCCGGACTCCGATCCAGCAAAGTGTCGGGGAAGAGTTCTGTCAGCACGACGGCGTGGTGACGATCTTGATGTACTACAACAGCAGGGCTTCGCCTAAACTCTGCTACAGTATTATCGAGGAATATGGTGGCTGGGGCACCGCACACGGCTAAGGAATAGATCACGTGGATCAACTTGTGTGTCTAGAGGTGCCCCCTGCCTCCGTATATAAAGGAGCCAAGGGGGAGGGGTGCGGCCAGCCCTATGGAGGCGTAGGAGGAGTCCTACTCCTACCGGGAGTAGGACTCCCCCCCCCCAATCCTAATTGGAATAGGATTCCCCGAGGGGGAAAGAGAGAGAGGGGGGCTGGCCACCTCTCCTAGTCCTAATAGGACTAGGGGAGGGGGGAGGCGTGCAGCCCACCCTGGGCTGCCCCTTTCACCTTTCCACTAAAGCCCACTAAGGCCCATATGGCTCCCGGGGGGTTCCGGTAACCTCCCGGTACTCCGGTAAAATCCCGATTTCACCCGGAACACTTCCGATATCCAAACATAGGCTTCCAATATATCAATATTTACGTCTCGACCATTTCGAGACTCCTCGTCATGTCCGTGATCACATCCGGGACTCCGAACAACCTTCAGTACATCAAAATGCATAAACTCATAATATAACTGTCATCGTAACCTTAAGCGTGCGGACCCTACGGGTTCGAGAACAATGTAGACATGACCGAGACACGTCTCCGGTCAATAACCAATAGCGGGACCTGGATGCCCATATTGGCTCCTACATATTCTACGAAGATCTTTATCGGTCAGACCGCATAACAACATACGTTGTTCCCTTTGTCATCGGTATGTTACTTGCCCGAGATTCGATCATTGGTATTCCAATACCTAGTTCAATCTCGTTACCGGCAAGTCTCTTTACTCGTTCC